GTATTAAGTTTTTGTTTGTTGAGTCGATGAATTAAGTTGCGTAACCGTAGATGTTATTTTGCTGGACGTATTTAAAGATGGCTTCGGAGACGTATTGATTGTTAATTGGCCGTAATCTATGAGTTTTGTTGATCTGGATCAGCTGCGATGAATATCCGAAATGGTGTCGTTTAGGTAGGCATGTATTGAAAGAACCCCACGTGGCTGTATTCATGTGCATAGTTAATGTTTAGAAGATGTATGGGAATGGATACTTTTTGGTGGGTGGACATATTTGTACGGACGCAGATGGCATGTGTCGTAAAAAAAGATGTGGACGATGCAGTTGTGGATATTGTAGACGTGGACAAGAAATGTGTGAACATGTATAGTTGAACAGAAATTTGTGGTCATTTGTTCGTGTACTCTGACAAGCTGTATTTAATTCGGATCATTTATGCTATGTTATTGCAGCTCTTTGAAGACATGTGTGCTCTGTTTCAGGAAACAATAATATTGTTTTGGTTGTCCTTCAGAGAACGAAAAACATGCTCTATGTTTTTGCGTCTGAATCCATTGTGACAAATATTTCAATAGTACAAACTCTATTACACATTATCGTATGTGTCGGTGAAAGCATATTTGATTTGTTGTTTTCGCAAAGATTTTTGTAATAGTAGGATAGAGTTTAATACATCACAACTGTAGCCGTGGCAATCTGCTTACATATTATACAACATAATGGTGAGAGCTAATTTAATACATCAAAGACAACAGCAAAAACAAGCTGCTTACATGTTATACATCGTAATACTAAGCTGAAGTCTTGTAAACATGGCTAAAAGGGATTTTAACATGTAGTAACGTGAAAATCTACTTAAGCATCATGATGGTGAGACCAATTACCACAACGACGGTGGCAATAACAATCTGGAACTTCACACCGTTGGTTACACTGATTTTCTTCTTTTGCAGGTCATCAACTAGCATCACCAACTTGGTAACCTTGTCATCTGTCTGAATCTGATTCTGCTTGAGTTGAGAAGTTTCGGCTTGGGCCATACAGAAATCGTCAAGGTAGGTAAATAGCTATATCTTCTCCATAGTCGTTATGAATGAGAGTTAGCTCCTCTAAGATGTCGTCGTCCAACCACTTCCATATATGGCAGTCTCCATCTCCAATGTTTGGGCAAGTGAAAAATCTCCTACCATGGTCCATTGTTGAACAAAAAATATTGATTATTGCTCGAGCTCCACAATACATTCAGTCATAATACCATATTCTTTGATTGGGATTGCATTCCGGGCCAATCTCCTCCTAATAGCAATGGAATCGTTGTTGCTAGTACTTGAAGGTTGAGTGTAACTATGAATGCCCATCTGTCTGAGCGTTACAGTCGCCATCAGTAAAAATAAAATATATTTAGGTGGAAGAACACTATTTGGAGATCCATTAACTATATAAAGGCGAGAAAAACGATTTAAATTTCATCAGTAGAAGTTCAGATTTGGATTGCATCATCTGAACTTCGGAACAACACAATCAATGACAAGCAGTGTTTGGACGTTGGTAATATTAAACAGATTTCAGATCCGAGTAGTGACGTAGTTACCTTCGATTGCGGTGTGGGGAAGGAAAAACGAGGTGAACAGCACCTCCGAAGATGAGATTGTGTCGGTGTTGGTTTAATTATAAAGCATCGTCAAAGGAGAACCCGGAAGGTATGAACTGCAGATTCTAATTGGACGGGTTTGTGAGTTGGTTTGATGATGGAAAATATAATGGATAGCCTAATAAAGGTATTGTGGAGGCCAGCGAATTAGGGCGAATTCCTTTGGGGACTAATTCTTGTTTGGGAGTTGTGCGGGTTGTGGATGTACATGTATGGATAGGGGATCGTGGACGTATTTGTTTGATGTTGTAGAGTGGTTGAATGAATCGGTTACTGTTATTTGTTATAAGCGGGTATTGTGATTGGTGGATGCTGAGTCGTGGACGTTGGCCGAGAATATTTTTGTAATTGAACACTATAATATACGACAACTGACTTATTTGTAATTTAATAGTAGTAGTGGTTAATGTGGGAAACAATGTTACATATATGTCGATAATGTATGCTGCACTTAATCATGGATAACTACTGATTGGTGGATGGGAGGGTTGTGGACATAATAATAGATGGATATCTGTCTGTTAGAGAAGCAGGATAACATTATTGAAATTAAGCAAAACAAGACTTATATCCACCACCGTGTATCCATATGGCAGTTGTATGTTACATGGTGATAGCGGTAGAGGATTTGTTTAAAATGCAACCAAAATATAGCGAGAACGGGTAGTGGTATCTTATAGGATTTGGGACGAGTGAATATGTAGTTAATACAACAAGAAAGATGTGGGTAACAGTGTTACGTATAGGTGGATAATGTATGTTGCACTAAATCTTGGAGAACCCATAACCCATGGATCGGTGGATGGGTAGGTTGTGGACATATTATTAGATGGATAGCTGTGTATTAGAGAAGTAGAATAACATTATTGGAATTAAGATAAAAGGGACTTATATCCACCACCATGTATCCATATGGCAGTTGTATGTTATATGGTGACAGCGGTGGAGGATTTGTTTTAAATGCAACCAAAATATAACGTTAACAGGTAGTGGTATCTTATAGGATTAGGGACGAGTGAATATGTAGTTACTACAACGAGAAACTAATATTGGTAGATTGTTGGAAGCTGATACTACGAAAGACGTAGTGGAGAGTTACATTTAAGAGGATTTACTGAGCAGCAGTGCGAGAAAAGCAAATAGAACGCTGCATGTAACGATTATGAGCAGTGGCAGGATCCGTTCCTGCTCAGGAGGCTGGGAATTAACTTCCTCGGGTGGGTTATTAGTGGAAAGGTAAGTGTCAGAATCAGTTGAAGGGATGGGAAGTGGGGGTGGCGGTAAATGCAAAGCGTGGCATCGTATAATTTCGTTGTGGTGATAATCCCTGACCGAGTTTTGTAGTTGTGTGATTTTGTTAGCTTGGCGGCGGATTTGAGTCCTAGCTTGTAGAAGACTTTGTTTCTGCCATGGATTCTATGATTCTGAGTCGGCCCAGCAGAAGAAACCGTGTTTTTGGCAGTTGTAGAACCTTCTTCCAGGGTTGTCATCGGTCCAGGCTTTGGTATGAACGGTTAGACGGTTGCAGTAACAGATTGGACCCTCTATGTCTCTGATATCTATACTGGTGTCAGTTGATTCCGAGGCCCCGGCATTGTTAAGTGCCATGGTCGTATTAGTTTTCTAGATCTGGGCCGGCTGCGACGAAGACCCTAATTGTTGTCGATAGTCTGCGTCGTTTTGGGAGGCCTTTATATAGGCAAAGAACACCATGTGTGCTGAACGGTAGTGTAAATTTAATGGCTTAGATATGCATTCACAATGGATACGTTCGTGTGGACAGGTGTACTGAAAGTAAATTTGTGGGTGTATTTAATGGAGGAATATAAGGCAAGTCGTTGGTATGTTATAAACTTGCCTAAATTGCAGCTATATGTGAGACTGTGTTGAATGGACGGTTTACTGATTGTACATTTTAATGATTTGTGTATTTGGTAGATGATAAATACGGTCTGTTGTGAGTAATGGTTAAATGATGTCTGTGTAGTATAGTAGTGTGAGGGTAGCAAATTTTGTACTGTATAAGGAACATTAGCGTAGGATACCAGTTTTTGTTGGTTAGTTACCATGGCTGAGCGGCAACATGGTTAAGTGTATATGGACGTCAAATTCAGTTGGTAGTTTTGGAAGATGATAAGCTTGGATAAGGGCTTTTGGCGTTAACTTTTATTCTCGCGACGTTGTGAATAATGTCCATTATGTGTAGGTCCTGGCTGATTGTTCATGTTGGGAAGATATCCAATGGTGTCCATTGTTAGTTGTCCATCATGAACAAGACATTGTGTTTATGTTTACTAATTGAGGTTTGTGAGTGTTAGGTGATGTTGAATTTAATGTCCTCGTGTTTAGGTATGAAATTGACAGTTAAAGAACGGGGGTAGGAAGTTGGGATTACATTTAGCTGAGTACGTAAAAGAAATTTGTAAATTTGGTGTAACTGTAAAGATGGGGCTATGAAAATTAGAACTTGGATAGTAGATAGTAAATGCGAGTGTAGATGAAAGTGGATAATGTGTCATGATGGGAAAATGTAGCGAAGGCATAATTCGGTTCTATGTATGTTCTTTAGATTAACACGTTAGTACTTCATTTTATGGTGGTGCGATTAATTTTGGGGGAGTTATACATATACAAGATGGTTAGGTATGTGTGACAGAGGAGTAACTAGTATATGATGACCATTGAAATGAGACAATGTGTGGGTGACCATAACATAATGTAGATATACTTACATACTAGGTATAATGTAGGATTTAACAATTATTCTGAAGTTGAGGTGAAGATAACGATATTTAGTGTAAAGTTGTTCATTTTTGGAAAGCCATCTTAATTTGGATGGTCGTAAACGAGTATACTGTTTTTGGTTTTTTGGATATTAATCATTGTCTGACCGTGTGTGTAGTCAGTAATGTCAACTTTATCTTGTAGCGTATGCCTAAATTTGCGAAAGAGTACGGGACCTTGAATTCCTGTGGTAGTGAATTATCCATATATCAGTGTACATTTGATCCTCTTGAAAACTACTAATTATGTGGGTAAGACAGTCATTAAGGAGGTTAATGGATGACAACAAGGTATAGTGAAACTTTATCCAAGATAGCAGGAGCGTGGCAAACAGAACATGGATGTTGTAGATTGTACACACTAGTAGAAATAGTTCATAAAGCTATTGTGACATCGTTGACTAAGAAAGCAGAGTTATAACTGTAGCCGAAAATAAGGATGATACCCCGTGAGAAATAGTATACACCGGGTGTTAAAAGTGCGCAATCGTAGGGGCCAATGGCAAAAAAAGATGTAATGGCCCTCTATCGCTGCTTAACCTAAAAGAGGGAGAAGTGTTAACATTTAGGCTGGCGGGTTGAGGTAGAGTGGTATTACAAGGTCTCGGTAGATGTCCATTGCATATTGTTTACAGAAGTCATCCACTAAAGCATATGTCAGTCCACACATACCTGGATCGGGATCGCCGGCGGCGTGCAGTTCCATGAACTTGACGGCGATAGGCCAACAGTTGCAGCGTTCATTTTTGTATATATCATCGATGCCTTTCCAAGTGTAGGGAAGCAGGCCGTTGCTTTGTGAATTTTGGGGGCAGAGGCTGTTGACTGCATAAGGGAGCATCTCGCAGATGGGGTGCATCCAGGTGGCCACCTTTCGATTGCATTTGAACTTGGGTAGTGGATCGAGTATCTCGATGCTTCCAAGGCTGACGTTGATGGCCAAGCCAACTCAATGTTTATCTTCCCAACACATTGGTACATAAATTGATTGTGTATCTTGTACCCGAGTTGCCTCTGGGGCCTCAACTATGTGTCTTAATTCATCCCATCTTAGGTGTTTAGGCATTTTTGAAGCGTAGAACTTACGTTCTTTGGCTAAGAAGTAACCAATTAGACTGGGGTCGCAGAAAGCCACAACTTCTCGATTTGCATTCGCCATGTGTTTAGTTCTAAACCATGACATGAGGACCTCCAAATGATGGGGAAGCATATGTGTTAGTACGTAACCGTTAGTGTGGGAAACTGTTATATATATTAGAAGTGATGTGTTGTTACCTGAGCTGTTGTCCATCCTTTCGGTTTTGCTAGCTGCAGGAGGAAGTTGTTGTCGAAAGCCCCACATGATTTTGTGTAGTGAATTTTGAGTGAAATTGAAAAATATGTTAGCCTAATATGGGTGGTCAGAGTAGCTAGAGAATTATGTTGCCCCGTCTTATAAGTGAAACTAAGTGTAGATAGACATACAGATTTGGCATCAATGATAGGGTTTGCTCGAATAGCTTCCACAGAACATGATCGAGTGGTGGGACAATTTGTTCTGTCCCTAGGGTCTGCCTTTGGTGCACCGTAGCAGCTAGGAGGGTTTCCATCAGAGTTGGGAAATATGTTTGCCGCTGTGGTGACAGTGAGCCATCACTTAATTTCTCAAGAACTTCTGAGCGGATAATTCGCTGACAGTTACGCCTACCATACAGTCTTGTTTTGGGATGTGGGGGAGTTTTCTCCGCATTTAGCTTGGACTTTAAAATGAAGTTTTCAAAAATTATATGATCAGCGTTGGAATTGTAGTTGCAGTAACAAAACTAGTAGTGGGTGGCAATCATACTTATTGGACTGTCAGCAATAGTTGTCGTTAGGGCAAGGACCAGCTGATGTTCCTCTTCGATCGACTTTGTTACGTTGGTAGCAGTTAAATCCGGTGTGTCGACAGCGACGGTGTCCACTACAGCTGGAGTAGTGGAAAGATGAGTATCCACCTTTTCAGAGGATGGGGGTGGCTATGTAATTTGATGAAGTTAAAATGTTACTTGAATGTCAACATTCAACCGCAGGGAGGAAATAGAATTTAATAAGTATTTGAGATGGATGATGCACCATGTGCTTGTTGATCAGATTCACATCCATCTGCTGGTTGTCCACATGGTGCTTGTCCATCGTTGCATTGTCCACATGGCCGTGTCCATCTTGTCTGATGAGAATGGTTGTTGTGTATTGTGATGAATGTAACCAAATTGTTAAAATGTCAACATTCATTCATGTGTGAAATTTAGAATTTATATAGGATTTGAGATGGATGATGTACTTTGTCCTTGTCATCAACCGCGACTTGGGCAGAGGCTGTTGTAGTATTGGCTTGTTCATCCTGGAAAATATGGACAGATCACTTAGGATGTGGTTAAGGGTAATGCATATTTTAGATCTCATGAATGATTACGTACCATGATCTGATTCGTCTCCACCTGCTGGTTGTCCACCATGTATATGTCCACTTGTGGAATTTTTTCAACATCCACGTGGTGCATGTTTATCTTGGCAATGTCCATTGTATGATTGTCCACATGAGTGTGGACACTTGTAGCGTCATGCGCAGCTTGGTGTTCGATTGGGCAGACAACATCGTCGGAGGAAGGCTTGTTCAATTGAGTGATAAGGTGAGAGTGAATCAGTATAATTTGGTGATATGTAAGCTTTAAGTATGTGTTATCTACATCGTTAGTGCGGACATCATATTGGCATACATGTATTTCGTTAAGGACAGAACTGATGTAATGGTCGGAAAGCTATGCAGTGAGAAGAGTGGATGGTGGGTCCGTAGCTAACCAGGGGTTCATGGAAGAGGGAGATACCTGTGGACGATGTATAGTTATAATGAGAAAGCGCAGCTGTGACACGTAATATATTGGTTTGGTTTGGCTGAATGGGATACTCAGTGTCAACAACCATATAATCTGGAGCTTGATTAGAGTTCGGTTCAATATCTTTTCCTGTGGTTGGAGAGGGGTTGTCGATTGCGTGTAGTACCTGTGTACACGTATTAAATCATAGTTTGAGTGGATACTAAATAATATAAGAATTGTCTTGTAGATGCAAACGTGGATTTTTTGGAGATGTGTTCGGTATTGGCTGATTATTGGATAAGGTTTGCAAGAGTTGAGAAGCACACTTACGTAGTTGGGAGCGCTTGATTTTTCCGGGTGATTATTACTACATCGGACCACGTACTGTATGATTAGAGAAGCAAACGTAAGGCAATTATGATAAAAGTGTGTTGATGTATATATACGCGTAGCGCCAGTGTTACCTCGGGGGAGTTTTGGAGAGGGTCTGTAATGTGTGGTGTATTCTCCAGTGGCATAGAGAGTTCTTGGTTGAGACTGATGGAAGGTGGAGTTGAGGGAGACGTGGAAATGGATGGTGTTCGCGGTTGGGGTTGAGTAGATGATGAAACCTTCTTCCGAGAGTTGCGAAGGCCTAGTGATGAAAGGTTGCACATTACTGGCCTTTGCTTGCTTCGCAACTGCTGGTCCATGTAGTTTTGCTTTTCAGTGAGAAGCTGCAACTGCTGGTTTAACTGTAGCAGTTGTGCAACTACCCATTCATGATTTTGTTGGGAGTTTGTGGGAGCGGTTGCCTTAAGATCAGCAGTAGTTTTCCTTTTGCGGCGGTTTTTCAAATCCTTCGAACCAGATGGGGTATCCTTGGCTTGCAGCTTGTTGCGTTGGCCTTTGCGCATGTTAAGAACGTGATTGACGTGAGGTACTTTGACATTCTTTTCTTTGATGGTGATAAGTGGGAAAGTGTCATCCCCTCCTGGCCAATTGGATTTTTGAAACATATGGCCATTCTTTATCTGCTCGAACATGTATTTAACTTTCCTATCGCCGGATTCGTTGTCCCATTCACCATTCCCATCATCGTCTCCATTGATGGAGGGCATTAGAGGAGTGACTGTGAGCTGCAATTGAAAGAAGAAAGAGTGGGTGAGGTCAAGCTGGAACGCCTGCACTACAAACGGAAAGCGGTACGATGGATGGAGTTAAAATACTAATGTATGTAGTTTTAAAAATTTGTACAAAACTGACATTGTGGTCAAACTCTGCTTTGTGCACGTCAGATAGTATTACAGACCCATGAGTAGGGATCTCGACTCCAGGGAGATCGATAAGAGAGGGAAGTTTCGCTGTATGTTTCAGCTTACTTAATAACGCCGGTATTTGGCAGAATGTAAGAAGCTGCAGCACAAGTGGGAAGCCGCAAAGGCGCATGGAGCCACCATTGAACTGGTGACGTAGATACGCGATAGACTTATTTCGTTTGGCAAGAGATGAAGGTATAAGCATTATAGTACCGAGAGTGCGAATGAATGATTCTCGTCTCAATGGCCAGTTTAAAAAATCGTCAATATCCTGTAGAAGTGTAACGTATCTTGGAGTTGGTCTGTGGAATTGTGAGTTCGCTATGAGGACGCAATCCACTAAAAGTATGAGGCACAGCTGGAGTTTTCGCTTTGGTGGTATGTCGTAATCTGTTTGTAGAAGGACGGAAATATCGCTGCAAGTTGTATGCTCATCACCCTGAATGATGTCCTTCCAAGCTTCATCTGCCTTATAATCGGGATCCAGTGTAAAATCCAGAAAGTACCCCTCTGGAAACTCCCCACAAGGCAGCTCTGAAATAACCCGAAACTCAGACAATGAAAATCTGAATGGATGGCCTCCGAACACAAACCACATCTTGTATTTCATGTTGGTGATCAACTGTCTCGAACATAAAGCGTGGAGAAGCTTGCACGAGATAGGACATCTAGCGGCAGGGTAGTCGTATAGAACACCAAAACAAGAGTTCCTAATAACGCCCAACTTGGCAGTATCCTTTAATACATGCTGGATGAGTTTTAGTGTGTATGGTTTTGAGTAGACATTAAGCTGAGCATTAGGATATCTATCTATAGCGAACAAACGAGAGGGCAAATTCAGGTCGATCTGTCCGTTGGAACTCGAGGAACCTGTAGATGTAAAGTTGCAAACATCAATAAAAGGAAACATGTGTAAGAACTTTATCAATATAAAAGCAATCTATGGACACAAAGCCGTGGACAGTAACTATTATTCTTGTAAACCAAAAAGTGTTAGAACTTTAGCCATTAAAAAACAACATATGGATACATAGCAACATATGCACACATATGGACAAAAGTGTAAGATCTTTAACCATTAGAAAACAACATATGGACAAAAAGTGTAAGAACTTTAGCCATAAAAAAATAACATATGGACAAAAAGTGTTAGAACTTTAGCCATCATAAAGCGAGAAGAGATAATTTTATCGAAAACCAGAATCAAATAGTCGGACGACACATAGTAACATTTACGGACACTGATATTAAATGGAAGCTTTATGGGCGAGATGGATATGAAATTGCTAAACCACAGGGAAAAAAATCTGAATATTTAGATCTGAACTTTAGCAATCATAAGAATCGGAAGCTTTTATGGGAGAAGAAATTGAAAGTGGACAAAGATTTGATGGATGAATAAACAACACTGGAGTACGATGGATGTGACATACCTGCCATATCGGAAAATATGGAGTCGGTGTTGAATTCACGGAATCGATACAGATCAAATTAAAACGAGATTGGGGGTTTAGTATATCTATATGAGAATCGAAGTTGTTGATGTAGTTTTTGCTCTGCTGAACGCCGACAGAGAGATTAGTGGTGGTCTTTGTTGGCCGCATCAACTAAGTAGGATTAGGTTCGCGGTGTGTTTGGTTTTTTTTTTGAATATTCTGTATGTTTATTTGTCAATAAAACGTAAAAACCCGAGAAAAGTTATCGAGCAGGTGAGAAGAGTGGAGGGCAATAAAGTCTTTTTAAATGATGAAAGTGTGTGATATTTTGAAAGTGTGTATGTTTGTAAATGAAGTCCAAAATAGTGTTGTTAAGTGTAAATTTCTTTTTATAATGATACATGAGTATAGTGAGTAAAATATAAGTCTACAAAGTGTTATAGTTGTCTACTAACATTGATGGAGAGTTATTATCTTATTTGGAGGGTTATTTATTATGATGGGTGGTTAGTGTACGAGGTAGATCACGTAAATTATATTATATCGTGTTATTTGAGCTGATAACTTTTATGTTCATAAATGAGTGTACTATATGTAAATCTACAAGGTATTCTAGTTGTCCAGTAATACTGATGGATGGTCATAGATATTTACTTTGGAGTGTTATTTGATATGATGGATCTACAAGGTATTGTAGATGTGCAAAAAGTAAAATAGGCTTACACTAACCGACATAGCATACATATGTACAACATACGATATATACAAGCATCTGATATGTGTGATAATGAAATCAAAGAATTAGCTTGAAAATGATGGATTAGAGCGATCGCTCAATTAAACAATCAATAGAGCGAGATCGAGCGAATATGATCTTGAGAACCCAACAACAAGTGTGAGAATAAAATCTCACATGGGAAGAAATGGAGAATCTCAGAAATTAGGTCTCAGCGGAGAAGTTGATGGCTCTGTAACCTCAGATCTAATCGTGTATTGATTGTCTGAGATGATTTTCGGAGGTGCATGTGGGCAATTAGCTAGAACAGTGGCAATGATGTGGAGAGTGACAATTTGGCCGAGTCGGTGGTGGTCAGATCGGAGATAGATGATGAGATCATCTTGGCCTTGTTGGAACCACCAGATAGTTTCGTTGAAAGGAAAAAAACTGGGGTCAGAAGATTTCAAAAGAGAAGAAGTATCACAATGATGAAGAAAGAGAGAATAAGAGATAAAAAGAGAGAAGAGGAAGTGCATTGATAATTTTGGATGTAGATTTTTCTGATAATAAGAAGGATAGCGCTTGAGGATAAAATGAAAAGAATGTGTACCGAAATATTTTAATGTTTCAACTCAAGTATATCATATATCGATTTCCTAATTTACTACCGGTCATTTACCATTGATTGGTATTTCCCATTTCTTAATAATGCAGATGCTTTAAAGCGCAAGAAACTAGTTCAAATTGGTAGCAGTGCAGTACTGCAGTGGTTGACTTGTGCCCTTCTTTGTTGGTTTCAAGGTGCCTAGTTCAAACTTCATAAAGTAGGTACGAATTTTTTAACTTGCCCCGTTGGTCTCACGAAACATTTAAAAGAGCTGAGAATTGGTCAATATTCGCTTTCATCATTTACCTAACGTCTTTGTAAAAATATTAAATTATCCAAATCTTTACCGAATCAACTGCTTAGCGAAAATACTAAATTCGCATGCCTGTTTTGACAAAATCAACATTCCTTAAATGTTACGGTAATATCTAAAATCAAAGTGTGTCTTCTTTAGATTCAAGTTCCAAGATCAGCAACAAGTATCTTACTATCTCAGCAAAGATAATCCCTAGAAATGTCTCTTAACCAATTTTTGTCTTATAGTGAAATCAAAGTTTGTCTTATTTAGATTCAAGTTCCAAGATCAGCAATCTAAGCAAAAAAATGTATCTGAAAATTTTCTTGTCCATCCTCTGTTTTCGTCTCGTCTTTAGCTTCGGCGTTGTCTCTGCACAGAGTCAAAAATGCGGAGACTCCCTGTTTTTCAGACCAAACGGTACGTATGATACAAACCGTCGTCTGGTTCTCTCAACTCTTGCTTCCGACGTCAGTTCTCGAGACGGCTACTACAACGTCTCTGTCGGTGAAGGCACTGGAAAGATCTATACTTTAGGTCTCTGTATCCGTGGGACTGATCCAAAGGTCTGTTCCGATTGTATCCAAATAGCTTCTGCTGGTTTGTTACAAAACTGTCCGAACCAGACCGACTCATGGGATTGGAGAGCCATCGACACGCTCTGTTTCGTTCGTTACTCCAACAGCTCGTTTTTCAACCGGAACGATACAGAGCCGACACAAGCAGAGTATTTTACTAAAAGGTTTCAGGGGGACCTTGCAGCTTATACCAGAACATGGGTCGCTTTCTTGAACTTTATGATCACCCGAGTCGGTCAAACTCGATACCTGACCGATATATCCTCCGAGATAAAATCTGATCAAGGTTCTGATCGTATATACGCACTAATGCAATGTATTCCGGGGATATCCTCTCAAGAATGTGAAACCTGTATTCAAGAAAGTGTCGGTGTCTACAACCGTTGCTGCAATGGGTTCTCCGGTGGAAGCATTCGCAAGCCGGTGTGCTTTTTCCGGTGGGATCCTTATCCATATCTTGGTGCCTTTAACAACACGCCATCTCCACCTCCTCAAGAGTCTCAACCTGTGCCGCTTCCTCCTCCTCCTCCTCCTCCTCCTTTTCCTCCTCCTCCTCCTTCTCCTCCTACAGATGGAAAAACGCTTTCTACCGGAGAAATTGTGGCGATTGTCGTTTCCACAGTTATATTTGTGCTGCTGCTATGTTTAGGATTAGTTATTTGGAAGAGAAGACAATCATACAAAACATTAAAATATCAAAGTGAGCTACTTTTTGAAGTTTTCTACCACTATAAACATTGCTATTTGGATTGCGTAATACTAAGAACGAACCATATATATGTTGTTACAGCTGATGATGACATGACAAGTCCACAGTCCCTGCAATTTGATTTTTCGACAATTGAAGCGGCAACAGATAGATTTTCAAGTGACAACAAGCTAGGTCAAGGCGGATTCGGTGAAGTTTACAAGGTATATTTGAGCTGAGCTTTATATGAATATATAGGCGATTGCTTGATTTGTCATGAAATTTAAGAACTAAGAATCTATTCATATGTATATTTGTAGGGAATGTTACCAAATGAAACAGAAATTGCGGTGAAGCGGCTATCGAGAAATTCAGGACAAGGCACATTAGAGTTCAAGAACGAGGTTGTGATTGTAGCCAAGCTTCAACACAAGAATCTTGTCAGGCTTCTAGGGTTTTGCGTGGAAAGAGATGAACAAATACTTGTCTACGAGTTTGTTCCCAACAAGAGCCTTGATTATTTCCTCTTTGGTAATATATAAACAGCATGCAACTAGGTTTAGTTTATGTTCTCTTACATTTTTCTTCTTCTTAAAATTTTCGTTTAATGCAGACCCAACAAAGAAGAGTCAGCTAGATTGGAAAACACGGTACAACATCATAGGAGGGTTAACGCGAGGGCTTCTCTATCTTCATCAAGACTCAAGGCTCACCATCATACACCGTGACATCAAGGCAAGTAACATTCTTTTAGATACCGATATGAACCCTAAAATAGCAGATTTTGGAATGGCTAGGAATTTCAGAGTGGACCAAACTGAAGACGAGACAGGAAGAGTGGTTGGAACATTGTTAGTATTCTACTATTCTCCTTACTTACTGT